AAATAGAAAAAAAGTGATTGTTTAGGGACGAAAGTGAAATTATCCTTCTTTTTTCCCCTTCTTATTAACATGATAGATAGAGTTTAAATCAGTTTGATTGTTGCAAACATTAAGTTTCCTTAATTTTGAAAGATGGTCTGTCAAATTTGAAATTTAATTAGATGTATCCGGTCTTCGTGAGAACCATTTGAATCAAGTAGTGTCCCAAATACTAGTTGCAACTGAAAAATTCAAAAGCTTTTCTTTGTGGCGATAATGCCAAAATATCAAGTTGGCTTAGTTGTCTTGTCTTTATCTTGATCATGGTCCTTAGAGGCCTGTCCGCATCTATGTGCTCTTTAAATTGTAACACGTTTTGATTCTCTTAAAGCTTAACACTGATTCTGTTACTTAAAATTAGTATTTTTATGGTTGATTTTGTGTTAATTTTTTCCCCTGAGAAAATTACTTTTGTTGAACTTTTGTTTTTAAAATTCACATGTTTGAATTTCACGAGCCTACAATGTTTGGTTGTTCAACTACTATTTAATCTTGTGTCTTTATAGATATCTTTTTTATACAATTTCACCCTCTGAATATTGCATTTATCTTATCCTGGATATGAGTAAGTTCAAATGTTGTCAGCTTTTGTACTAATTTTATTGCAATATTAATCATACTTAATTTGCACTATGGTTTATTTTATTGGTTACGAAGAGTCTTGTTTGATGTGGTTGTATGAGAGAACCAATGGAAGTCGGCTGCTTTGTTGACAGTCTTATTTTTTCAATTGTTGTAAATGAGATCAGAAGCCTCAAGTTATTGTTGGCATTTTCAAATACTTCATGATCGATAAAACATTGTTGCCGTGTACTTGGTAGGCTTATTTTGTTTACTTCTTACGTTAAAATTGCCATTTTTTTTTCCAGCTGTCTACATAAAGATGTGACAAGTGTTTATCTTGAATCTTTATATACCATAGCCTTTGATCATTAGCATCATCAATCTCTCTGTCGCTTCCTCTCCAACTTATTTCCACTGTTTAGAACTTGAGATGTAATGATGTTCAAGAAATTGATAATCTATACGGGACTCAATACCCATTTCAGAAGCAGCTTTGTCACGTTTATATTGATAGTACTTATAAGAATGGTTATAATTAGCATAAATGTAGAAATTTTTCCTATTATAATTTGTATCCGTGGCGTGTGGTTTTTATGTGGACAGAATATCTTTCCAATGGGAAGGCTGAATTTTTCTAGTTTAAGCTGTTGATGCATCCTCCCTACCCACAAACTTCAGATGATTTTCCATCATTTCTGGAGCCAGCTCACTTCATATACGAGCACACTCTTGGTGACATGTTTCTTTAAATAGCCTCTTTTTTCTTTTTTTCTTTTTCAAATAATAATAAAAGCTTGGCGATCTTTTCACAGAAGAAATCTATTCATTTGATTTTGTTTATGAGCATTTTGTCCTTTGACTAAGAAGTTTTGCCTGACAGCTTAGGATTTTCATAAGGACACTGGTTCTCCTGTGGGTGCGTTAGTTTCTCAAGATGTTAACAGGTCTGATGACTTGAAGCGGCTTTATCCAGAGCCATCACAATGTACATGTTATGTCCTGGAAGATGTTTCTCTCAGTGAGCTTGGGAACAGTCTGACTGAATTTCTACATACTCAAGATGATAAAAAATTGGCATCAAGCTCCAATTTAGTTCAACCTGCCGACAAGACTGATAACTTCAATGTGGAGAAGGAAGATAAATGCAAAGATCTAGATCAAACTGAACCAACCACTGTAACTTCTGAGAAATTTTTTCCCAAATGTGCAACATTTGCATGCTCTGGTAAGAAAGCATCCCTTGCTGTGTCTGCAAATGTGGAAGATGACATAAATGCTGCAGTATTGGAGAAAAATGGCCATGAATCTGTTAATCCTGCATGCCCTCAATCCATTTCCTTGCCTGTAAGTTTGCACTATATTTGTTTTCATTTTATGTTTTTTTTTTTCTTCATATTATTACCAAGTCATGATGCTTGGATTCCTATCATGTGAGTTTGATGCTAGAGCAATTCAAGACATAATCAATTGTCTTAAAAGTTGCTCGTTTCATTTGCAAGTACTTGGGCAGTAGTTAGGTGAATGCTTTAATTGTAGTTAGGATGTTACTACAGATGCTATTTGGAAGTAGTAAATGGATTTTGATCATTATTTTCAATGCGTGTTTTTCAGTTTCTTACAAGTGTAGGGTATGCATGCCAGAGGTAGTTGGGGTTGAATCTTGTTACATTATGAGGGAAGCATTTATGTGTGTATTAGGTGCCTCTTAAGTGTGTTCCACCTTCCCATTCGTTCTACCCGAGCCAGATTAGTTAAGATACTTTTTACAATTCTAATATATCTTAGGTAGACGATACTATAATGAATTCGTTTTTGTCCAAGTAACCTGTAATTGATTGGAAGTTGCATTGTATGTTAAGCGTGTGATTTATGTTGCAAGTTGCCACTAGTTGACTGAAATGGTTACTTATATGGTACCAATTCTTTCTAGTTTTCTCTTTTATCAACTTTTTTCTTTTGAAAAGAAAAAAGAAAATCTAAGCAAAACATTTTAAATTTTGGAGACATTGGACATCATTTCAGGCTGGCTGAAATTTCTTTTACCCTTGGCTTCTATATTAGATTGTTGTGTGGAAGCTGGTGATAACCAAAGATATAATTATATTTGGAATTTTTTGTAATGGCTGTACAATCATGGACCAGTAGCTGATTGAATGTACATGATGAGAACTAGTATCTTCCTCGAGCCACATTTTTTTTTGGACAGTTCTGTTTATTCTTTTCTCTTCATGTTTTGCTTTCTTGCAGACTCCTTCAAAGCTAGTATCTGCCATAAAGGGTAGTCGTGAGAAACAGGGGATGACACCTCCAGAGAAACTGACCGTCAGATGGGCGCCTGATGTGTATGATCCTCCTCCATCAATATCTATATCCACATCTGGGAAGATCAAGAAACCACGGCCCAAGAGTGAAAGTAAGAGGTATTATGATTATAAGAACGGAAAGAACAAGTAGAAGGGCAAACCTTCTAAAGGGAGCAGCAGTAAGGACAAGAAACACGTTTGAAAACACGGTGGGAGTTTTAACAAGTATTACCAAACGTTAGACAATGATGACAGAATGGTCGACTATAATGAGCCTTGCGGTGAATCGGGGGGTTTTGGTGTTGGTAGCCCAAACTCATATTGTGGGAGTAGTTTCCTTAAGAAATCTGTCAGAGAGTTGCATTTCTCCATTGCAGAGGCTACATGAGCCTTATCTTCAATCACCACTGAGTACTCCTTTCTTCTCATTCATGGTGTTAATAAATAAAGTACTATTTTAGGGTCTTGTTGACTGTAGTTATAGTACTTCGGAAACTTTTGACAATTTTCTTTTGCAGTGCTGCTATTGGTAAGTCTGCATTGACATCCTCACAAACTTCAGGTTTTTTCTGTAGATGAGTTTTTACAATCTAAGCTGGCCTTTCTTTTTTCTTGGTTTAAAGGAAATTGTTGTGCTCTTGTTCTTCATCGATTCTAGTCGGTGGGTGTTCCTGGTTTATGTTATTTCATGTGTGGTTGGTGTTGGAATTTTGACCACAGTTTATTATAAACCATTTTCTTGCTCCTGTTCGGCCAGTGGGAAAAGTTCTCTATTCGGAAAGCTGGAACTGTATTCGGTTATATAATTAGGGCTGAAAGGCAAGTTGTGTTAAGTTTTTCAAGTTTGATTTGATAACTTAACGACTGTTAAATTATGTTTAAGTTTGATTTATTTACATAACGAGTTGATATTAAACAAGATTTTAACAAATTGATATGAGTTGAACAAGATTTTAACAAATTAATGAGTTGAGCTCGAATAACTTAGATAAGGTTTGGTTTGTTTTTGGATACTCAATTATGTTTTTAAATTATAATTGGGATGAAAAATGTTAACTAAACATATTTTTAAAATACAATTCAAAATTATTTTTAAAACTCCTACCTTCTCTTTATTTTATTATTATTATTCAATCAATTAATTATTTTTTTCTCTCTCATCTCTCTTCTCACATTCTTTCACATTTTATACATCAATCAATCTAAAAAATAAAAAAAAATTACAAATCATTTCAAAATTATTTTTAAAACTTATAATCAAACAAATTTTCTCTTTTCAAATCATAATTTAAAAATTCAAAATATAACTTCACACTCAAATTATAATTTTAAAACTAATGTAAGCTTATTGATTCAAAAAGTAAATTATTTAAATTTAGTTTGAAAACTTAGCCAGTGTAAACATGTGTTTACCTTTACTTTTGGTTTGTGAAAAGATAATTTTTTTAAATAAAATTTACATATATTCGGCAATTGTTTAAAAAAAATCGTATTTTTTTCTCTTTGCATTAAATTTCTTTTGGGGAATTTTTTTTAAGGTCCCTGGTATTAAGATTTTACAGCATAAAAGACACTCAATATTTTCATAATGTCTAAAGTCTCTCAACATCAATCCAGAGAAAATTCAATCCAGAAAATTTCTCTGGACAAATCACAGAGAAAATTCCAAATTTCTCTAGACAACAATGAGTACTAGTGCTCTACTTCAGAAAAAATTGGGTTGATCCAGAGAAATTCTTTAGTTTGAATTCAATTTTCTCTGGGTTGAACTAGTGCTCTGCTTCAGAGAAAATTGGATTGGTCCAGAGAAATTCTCTGAGTTGAACTAGTGCTCTGCGTCAGAGAAAATTGAGTTGGTCCAGAGAAATTCTCTAGTTTGGTCCAGAGAAATTCTCTGATTTCCAAAGCTTCCACATATTATAAGGATGAAACACTGGAATATCTTGTCAATAATTGCCTTAAATCACATGTGGTTTTCGTTTTGGGAAAATAAAAGGAGCAACTTTGTAAAGAAATTTTAATCAATGGACAAAAAAAGAAAAAGGAATTCAAATGAATTGGAGCACTGAGAGAAGAAATCTGTGGATTATAAAATGAATTCAATTCTCAAGTTGACATCATTCAAAACATAAAAAGAGTTCTTCAATATAACAAACAAAGCCTATATAATACTAACAGCATATCACCACCACCCAACATGTGTGGCAAACAAACTACCGCCTCAGGCTCTCCACGATGTAGTCCGCATAGAGATTCCTATAGAAGCAAAATGCACAATGAGATTAAGACCATAATCCATGCCAGATGAGATTGATGACAAGCACAACAACAAATTTGCTGAAATTCCCAAAGTCCAACAGGAAACTCCAAATATTAAAAATATAAAATAGATGTGATCTATCGATTCCACAGTAATACACTCAATGTGGAGATGTCAGGAACAACTATATTAATTGTCCCAAATTCGAATAAAAATAGTATAAACATTTTTATGCAATGTATCTGATAAGCTACTATTGTTTTGGGCATGAATGGATGATTTCCAAAGACAGCATTGGGTCACACACCCTGATATTGGAAACAACATCACATAAGCTAACATATACAATATATACCAGACAATTGAATAGTTATGATATTTATATGATGAACCCAATGGCTTTCACTCTTAAATCTCAAGATACGTAACTAAAATAAAGTTTTGTTTAAAAGAGAGATGCCAAGGGTTATCCTACCAAATAAATAAATTATTAAAACTAAATTAATTTTGTATTTTAAACTATTAAAATAGCTACACACTGAAGGTAAGCCCTTTTGGTTAGGGTTGCGCCACGAGTGGCTTCTACCAAATTCAGTTCAACAAAAACTTCATTAATAATGTGTCATCCATTGCTGTATTGGTTAGTCCATCTAAATCTAATACTGTGCAAATTAAGGAAAATGGGAAAAGAACACTGAAAGGGCGTAAAAATTCGTCACTTACATGGAATACTGGATCGCATCATAAGCATCTGAGGCAGGCAGAAAATCGTTAACTGCAACTTCCTTGTTCTCATTTTCTTGTCTAATTACTCGTTAAGAGAATAACATTCTTTCGATACATTCCTTTTGTACCCATTTTCCTTAAAGAAAAGAATTGTATAGACTAGAAAAAATTGTTACACAACGCAGAGTCAATTGCACAATATGAACTAAAACTTTTAGAAGGATACAGTCCTCAAAGAAGCGGCGGATCTCAGCCAATCGATGTGGGCTGTCCACCCAAATGAGGTGCAAGTGCAAGGCTACAATACTATTGTCCTTGGGTGGTCAAGAAAGCTTGAAAGCAAATAATGTGGTTCATGTAAGAGGTAAGTTGTGGCCTGATTACTGTGATCACTATCTTTACATGACTTGGCACAGCTGTCCTACAATCTGTTCATGACAGATAAAGCTATGGGTTCTGCTAAATTTCATTACATAGGACACCCGAAAATATATAATTTTTCAGGGTCTGATTTAAATGAAATGAAATGTTGACAAATCCACCAAGAAAGACATGAACCTTTTTCCCCTTAATTATACGACAATGTAGTTGAAAATCTAACATGACTAAGGTTCATTCCAAGGTAAATAGACTTAATTTTTCTGGGGCTTTTTTATTTTTTAAAATACCCTGCCTGAACACCTCATTGACTACCTTTTTATTTCTACTATTCTCAATAGAAAATATTTCCCAAAGCGTGCTCATTCTCTCATAGGATCACTGGGTTCTGAATTATTTCATGTAAAACATTACTTGCTACATTTAAGCTTTATCAAGCCTCAAAATTTTTGGTATATCCGTAATATGAAAACCAATATTGCATGCATAATCTGCAAATGTCTGCAAGTGTTTGCAAATGTGAAAAAATGCATATCAAACAGCACACCTGCATGATAACTAAGACATCCATGGGGTCATTGTCCTCACAGAGAGTACGAGGGATGAAGCCATAATTATGGGGGTAAACAACCGATGAGTAAAGCACACGGTCAACCTGCAACATGCATCGGCTTTAGCAACCATTAACGATCAAAAACAGATACTGAGATTAATGACTGACTATGCATGATTACCTTGATCATTCCCGTTTTTTTGTCAAGTTCATACTTCACTTTACTCCCCTTACTGATTTCAACCACCTGCAATAATTAATTATATTTATACTAGTCTTTGTGAATTGAAAATTTTATACTTAATGATTTTCGACATTTGTAAAATTGCTATAGATCATTGAAACAATAAAATTCATCTAAAAGAGATTAAAACTAGACAGTTTATTAAAGAAAAGAACCTGTAGAATGAAAGTCAAAACAAAGCTGTATATTTATAAAATAAAATAAAATAAATTCAAATTGACAGTTTAAGAGTTTTTCTAACAGACAACTGAGGACTTATTCAAACTCCATGTTTATTACAAACAACACAGGTAGGCGTTTTTTTCTGAGGATTTTAAAACCCAATTCTGCTTTTTGTAGTAGAAATATATTCCCTCTGGTTGCTCATAAAAGAGAGCAAAAGTTGGTCACTGTCTCTACTAATAAGAAAACAAAAATTTCAAAGAATATCATGCCAGAACCATGGGGCAATCAAGTATACAATAAATTGTATTATCAAATTGAGGGTAATGGTCATAAAATTTTCTTATCATGTTAGGTCCTTAACCATCGTTCAATCAATTATCTGATAAAATGTAGGATCACTGCCTGTGAACACCTTTGCATGCATGGTACAGAATTAGTACTTCAGCAAAAATAGACCAGAACAACTTTTACAGTCATTCGTGGGGAATGGGGATGCTACAGAACAATTAATTATAGTTGCAAGTTGCTTTCTACATATTCACATCAGGTATTGAGAAAGTAGGACCTTAAAGCAACTTATAGGTCAGTGAGATACCTTAATATCACACGTGAACTTGGTTAGGAGTGAAATTTTAATTGAAAACAAAGGTGTGACCATCAAACAGTACACCCACATAACAGTTGTACAAAGGGACCATATGATGGTAATTGGTAATTATGCATGTATCAGTATTCCATCTATTCCATGTACACGGTTATAAGGTTTATTACCTGGCATTATAATATAAAACACATATTTTGATTTGGTTAAGCTACGGTTTTCCTCCAACTTTTAATAATTACTGTAGGTTAACTATGTGATCAACTTCAACTACATTCTTGATATTCCTTAAATAGACCTACAGCTATATAAATCTTAGCAGGTTAATATAATAAATTCAATGTAAGCCTGTCTTTGTTTGTCCCAATCGAAACTAGTAACAAATTGTTGGCAATTACTGAGCAATATAATAAAATGATGTACTTTAACAACATCCAGGTCCCAAAACTTTAAAATGAAACTCAACTAGGGTATGTTTCTCAGAAATTAAAAGATTCAAATTGCAGGCCATGTGAAATTCACGTCAGGTGAAAACTTTCAATGACAGGTAAACAAAATTCTGGTTTCATGCATAGTAAACTAAGTAAACAATCCATATTTAAATTTAAATTATAAAAAGCATTTAACCACTCTTTAGCAACGCCTATTCAATATCACACAGATCTAGCATACAAGTTGAGAGTAACGAATGCCCTTTGATTAGTCCTATATAGTTGTCTCACATTCACAAAAAACCAACGTAATTGGATTGTTGAATGCATCATATGGAAACAACACAACTAACAAACATCAAAAAACATAAACCTATTCAAATCATATTTTCCTAATTTTATAAACCAACCCAGCGAGTTCACGTAGGTAAAAGGGGCAGTTTCGAAGAAAGGGATTTCGGTCTAGGGTTTCATAGAATGGAGATAGAGAAAGGGAGAGAAACAAAAACATTAAATAACCCAAACAATCAACCTAAGCTCATAAATTACACCTGGAAAAACAAAATCAAGTCTTCTTCAAAGGAAATGGGACTGAATAAAGATGGGTTTTCGATTTTTTTTACTTAATCATACAAAAAATTCCATATCCTCTACTTAAAAATCCTAAATTTGAAAATTTCCTCTTAGTACAGACAAATCGAAGATAATACAATAAAAGTAAGGGCTTTGGGCAATTATGAACTACGTACAAACCAGTTTGTAATCGAGCTCGAATACATCTAGGGTTTCGTCGTCGCTGCAGGGGGTTGGGCGTTATCCAATAGGTTGTTTAATTTGGAGATGACGGTGGAGACGAAGGTGGTGGAGACGATGGCAGGAAGTGTAGGATCCCTTGACAGAGAGTGACACCTAGAGGGTTAAAATCAGTTGTTCGAAATAAAACAGAATAGGAGAGAAAGGTGTGGCACTTACCTAGATGTGGTGATGGTTGTGGCAATTGACAGCGGCGACGATTGGAGAGAGAGAGAGAGAGAGAGAGAGAGAGAGAGCGTAATTTCTCCAAATGTTAGGTCTAAAGAAAAGGTCCAGGGGTTTGTCAAAAAAAAAAAATAGGAGGGAATTTTGGTTTGGACAAAATTTCGAGGGTTTGTTCCAATTTTTTTGACATTGGGAGTCGAATCTTAAGGGAAAGGAAGTTGTGGTTATACAAGAGGAGTATGTTGCTCGATGCGATTTTTACATGCGTGATCAAGGGCACAGTGTTTCAGCCTCAAGCAGAGTACCATTATATGCATGAGAAGAATAATTACATGTATAGGTATCTGATTAGTGTAAATTAATTTCGCAAAACTGATTCGCAAAAATTAATTTGTTTCATTCTTATTTTAATGAATAAAAAATTATTATTTTTTTTTTCATTTTGAATAAAAAATATTTTTCATTAAAATAAAGTTAATTTTTTGTCATCAATGAAAAATATTTTTCTGCGACTCATTTTTTTTTGTTACTAAAAATCAAAAACTAATTTTTTGTGGTATAGGATAGGGAGCAACAGTAGTGGTGAAGGTGGTGGATAAGAGGTGATAATGGTGGTGATGGTGATAGCGAATGAGATTAGTGGTGAAGTTGTGGTAATCGTAAAGGAGATAGAGTAGCGGTGGTGAATGAGAGGTAATGGTAATAGTAATAGTGGTAGTAGAGTGGTGGTGATGGTGGTAGAAATGATAGTCGTAGAGGCGGATTGGCAACAGTGGTAGTAGTTGTGGTAGTGGAATGACATTTTGCAGTAGTGTTGAAGGTGGTAGAGGAGATGGGTGGTGAGAGAGAAATGAGTGAGAGACAGATAGAGAAGAGAAATAGAGACAGCGACAGAGTGATGAGCGATAGAAAGACAAAGTGGTCACCAAAAGTGATTTTCTTATAGTGTCTCGATAAATCAAAATATAGCTTGGTAAATAGAGAAGAAGGGAGAAGGGAGTAAGCAAGGCGAACACAATGAGGAGGAGACAAATAGACAGGCAAATAGAGAGAAAAAGAGAGAGAGAAGAATGCTGAGTGAAAGAGAGTGAGAGACAGAGAGACACAGAAAGAAAGAGAGAGAGAGAGAGAGAGACAGAAAAAGAGAGAGAAAGAGAACAAAAAGAGATGAACGAGAGAAAGACATAGAGAGAGAAAAAAAATGAGTGAGAGATAGATATATATATAGAGATGAGCGAGAGAGACATAGAGAGAAAAGAGATGAGAGAGATAGAGAGAAGAGAGATGAGCGAGAGAGAGGTAAAGAGAAGAGAGATGGTGATGGTGGGTGAGTGAGTGGGTGACGGTGACGGTGGCGGGTGGTGAGTGGTAGTGAGTGTATGGTGGTGATAGTGGTAACGGGTGGTGGATGGTGGGCGTATTATGGTGGTGGCGGGTGGTCGGTGGTGGTGACAGGTGTGTAGCGGGTGGTGGCAGGTAGGTGGCGGGTGGTGATGGTGGGTGAGTGAGTGGGTGACGGTGACGGTGGCGGGTGGTGAGTGGTAGTGAGTGTATGGTGGTGATAGTGGTAACGGGTGGTGGATGGTGGGCGTATTATGGGCGTATTATGGTGGTGGCGGGTGGTCGGTGGTGGTGACAACTCAATCTTCTCCAAAACATAGCCCTAGATTTGGGGTTTGAGGGAGGGAGGGAGGGAGGGCGTATTATGGGCGGAGAAGGATGAGAGTTTGATCCATGGTTTGGGTTTGGACTGGTTCAAGTGACTGCTAGGGCTCGTTTGCCCTTTCGGCTGCTCCTCCGCCGAGCGGGAATAGAAAAAAAAAAAGGTGGGGAGGGGAGCGGGGCGGGAATAAAAAATAAATTTTTTTTTGTCAAAAATAAAATTTAAATAATAAAATAATGTCGTTTAATTTTTTTTTTTTTTTTTTTTTTTTTTCGACGAGGGTTGCCGTTGCCAAAAAAATTTATTTTTTGTTAAAATAAATTTTTTTTTTTTGTAGTTAATGAATTTTTTTTTAAAAAAATATTTTTTTTAGTTATAGATTGAAAATTTATTTGTTTTATTTTTATTTGAATGAAAAAAAATATATTATTATTTTTTTTTATGAAAAAGTCACATTTTTCGCGACAGCAAGTTGTACTGTCTCAAAAAGTCACATTTTTTTTGCGACGGCAAGCTGTGCCGGCTCAAAAATGCACATTTTTTGCGACAGCAAATTGTGCCGTCTCAAAAAGTCATATTTTTTGCGACGACAAGTTACGTCGTCTCAAAAGGTCACATTTTTTGCGATGGCAAGTTGTGCCGTCTAAAAAAGTAATATTTTTTGCGACGGCAAATTATGCCATCTCAAAATGTCACATTTTTTGCGACGGCAAGTTGTGTCGTCACTAAAAATGACTTTTTGCGACGGCAAATGTGCCGTCGCAAAAAATTCCGTCTCATAAGCCCACTTTTCTTATAGTGTTATGATATATGTGATATTGATTATGAAACAAAGGGTGCTGGTTATGAGATGTGGTTATAACATATGTGGGTAAAGGTAATGAGATATATGATTAGTGATTATGAGATATGTGATTTTGGTTATGAGCAGAGTGGTATAGTTATAAGTCAAAGTGTAACAACCCCCATACTGTTTACTGATTAATGACTGATCGATTACCGATAACCATCGATTACCGTTAAACTGAATTGATTATGACTGATAATTGAACTGACTAAAAGTACTGAACTGACTGACCGAAATTGAAACTGAATTGAACGAATACATCTGTTTGAATTGCATTTTATCTGTTGACTGTTTGTTTGACCTGTTCGTGTTATATGTTTAAACTGCTAACTGAAGGCCTTTCGGCGGCCGAATCCGGAATTGATTAGTGTTTTATGATCCTCATAATTAATGTGATTTTATGGTATAATTATTTGAAAACTGATTAAGTATGATTAAATTAGATTAAAATAAGCCAATTAAAGAGTTGGACTTAATTACCGTTTTGCCCTTGAGTGGGCCACTACCTCTATACCTTGAGCTCATTATACTTGAGCCAAAAACATTTTCCTCAGCCCATTCCTTGTGCTCTAGCCGACCTTAGAGAGAGAGAGGAGCTAGAAGAGTTGAGTTCAACTTGCTTCATTGTGAATTGGCTAGAATTACTTGAAGAATTGAAGGTTGATTACTAATTTGAGCTCCCTCACTTCTAATTCTACACCTAAGGTAGATCATTCATCATCTTAATGATGTCATTGAGCTAGTTCTTGCATGATTCATGCTTCATTGTAGAACTAAGTCATGAATTGGTTCATTGTTGTTGAATTGAAGCTTAATTGTTGCATGCATGTACATATATTGAAGTTTTGAGGTTGTAAGTCCATGTTTCCTCACATGCATGTCCATCTTTTGGTCATACTCCATGAATTCATCATGTTCTTGAAGAAATGAGTCCATTTGAACAAGCTTTGAAGGTTGAATTTGGTTTGAATCCATGCATGTTTGCATGTTCTTCATATTCTTGAAAATGGGTTTGAATATGGTTTAAATTGACTCACCTTTGGGGCTTGAATTCAATCACCATACTCCTTTATAAACACAAAATTTTCAATTTTGCATAAAAAAAAAAAATTAATTTAGCTTTTTCAACTTTTTCAAAACAACATCTCACTTTGCTTGGTTTTGGTTTTCAAAAAACAATTTTCCGAAAGTTTTGCTTTTTTATGTTTTTTTGTTTTCACTGTATTTTTTTAATATTTTAATCAATTTTTAATTTTTTTTTGTAGTTAATGAATTTTTTTTAAAAAAAAAATCATCTTTTTTTTAGTTATAGATTGAAAATTTATTTGTTTTATTTTTATTTTAATGAAAAAAAAAATTATTATTTTTTTATGAAAAAGTCACTTTTTTTTGCGATGGCAAGTTGTGCCGTCTAAAAAAGTCATATTTTTTGCGACGGCAAATTATGCCATCTCAAAATGTCACATTTTTTGCGACGACAAGTTATGTCGTCACTAAAAATGACTTTTTGCGACGGCAAATGTGCCGTCGCAAAAAGTTCCGTCTCATAAGCCCACTTTTCTTGTAGTGTTATGATATATGTGATATTGATTATGAAACAAAGGGTGCTGGTTATGAGATGTGGTTATAATATATGTGGGTAAAGGTAATGAGATATATGATTAGTGATTATGAGATATGTGATTTTGGTTATGAGCAGAGTGGTATAGTTATAAGTCAAAGAGTGTTTGGTTATGAGATATGTGATTAGTAGTTGTGATATATGTGATGTTGGTTATGAGATATGTGGGTAATGGTTATGAGCAAAGTGGTGTCAAAGGGTGCTTGGTTATGCTATATGTGTTAGTGGTTATAAGATATGTGGGTAATGATTATGAGCAAAGTGGTGCCAAAGGGTGTTTGGTTATGCTATATGTGTTAGTAGCTATGAGATATGTGAGTAATGGTTATGAGCAAAGTGGTATCAAAGAGTGTTTGGTTATGCTATATGTATTTGTGGTTATGAGATATATGAGTAATGGTTATAAGCAAAGTGGTGTCAAAGAGTGTTTGGTTATGCTATATGTGTTAGTGGTTATGAGATATGTGGGTAATGGTTATGAGCAAAGTGGTGTTAAAGGGTGTTTGGTTATGCTATATGTGTTAGTGGTTATGAGATATGTGAGTAATAGTTTTGAGCAAGGTGGTGTCAAAAGGTGTTTGGTTATGCTATATGTGTTAGTGGTTATGAGATATGTGGGTAATGGTTATGAGTAAAGTGGTGTCAAAGGGTGTTTGGTTATGCTATATGTGTTAGTGGTTATGAGATATGTGAGTAATGGTTATGAGCAAAGTGGTGTCAAAGGGTATTTGGTTATGCTATATGTGTTAGTAGTTATGAGATATGTGGGTAATGATTATGAGTAAAGTGGTGTCAAAGGGTATTTGGTTATGCTATATGTGTTAGTGGTTATGAGATATGTGGGTAATGGTTATAAGCAAAGTGGTGTCAGAGGGTGTGGTTATGCTATATGTATTAATGGTTATGAGTTATGAGATATTGGTTATGTGACTAGTGGTTGTGAGATATGTGATGTTGGTTATTAGATATGTGACTAGTAGTTATGAGATATGTGATGTTGGTTATGATCAAAGTGATGTGGTTATGAGCAAAAAGGTGTTAATTATAAGATATGTGATTAGTGGTTATGAAATATGTGATATTGGTTATGACAAAAAGGTGTTGGTTACGAGATATGTAACTAGTGGTTATGAGATATGTGATGTTGGTTA